CTTTAGGAAAAAAGGAGACTTAAGAAACGTGTGTTTCAGCGGCATACACTGAGAGACACAGCCCTGGGGTGTGTAGCTCAAGCCAGGTGTTTCAGGTTCTTAGTGAGGCCACAAGAACAAGGCACACAGACATCCTGCTGCCTTCATGAAGCCTACATTTATTTTCAGCTAGAAATGGGCAAAATGCAAAGGCCAAATGATTCGTGAAAGGCCTGATAACAGCATGGTTTTGATCCAAAGAGCTTCCATTCATATCCAGAGTTTTAAAGCTAGATTTCTGGGGGTGAGCAGGGGGTGAGGAGGAGTTTTATTCCTTTTTCATGTTTCAGATCTGTCCAGCTCTACTTAGAGGAGTCTTATGAACTTTGTCTTTAACTATTCTTAGTCATTTTTTTGAGATTTGAGACACAAAGATGACAATAAAATCTTGCTGAGGCTGTGGCCCCTCATTTGACGGTGCAGCATCTTATCTTCCTGCCTGAGAGTGTAGAGAGACAGCGTAGACATCGGGCTACACCCTTCCCAATCTAGCAGTAAACGAGGGTCACAACAAAAATCAAGACAGAAACTGTGAGTCAGTCTGCAAGGTGTTGATGCTAACTGAGGCCGTCCCTGGAGGCCACAGAGGGGACCAGGAGAACAGGGGAGGCCAATGTGTACGGATATAAGAATGTCCCTGTCTGCTCAGGAAGAAAGTGCTCACAAAGTTATTCTTTGGAGAAGTGAGCTCTCGTCATCTGTGTGAACTCGCCATGGCATCGTACCGCTCAGTGAGCAGAAGACAGAAGTAGCTGGCGGAATGTTATTAGATGTATTTGAACAAGTGAGAGTGAATTACTTAACTTCCCATTACCGGCAGACTCGGAGGTGAGGAAGGTCACCGGCTCATTCACCTGAACATTACTTATCTTGACCAAAAGCCCATGAGAATCATTCTGAGAGAACAAGGCTTTCATTACCACTTAATACTTCTTTCTTAAAGCTCTATTTTAATTCGATGAAGTCTGGTCTCAGAAATATCATAATTAAGGTTTTCATAAGAAACATTTAATACTGTTTAAGTACATAATGGCTGCTAGCGTTCCATGTCATAAACCAACTAAAACGGGCTTTAATCTCTTCTGTAACTATGATGCCGTACTTAACCCTAAGGCGTGGTGCTGTCAGGCCCTCTTATTAGTCACACAAAAGTAATTATCGTGGCTTCACCATCATTTCATCTTGTTAGTCAGAAATATTAACCCGACTAATCATGCGCCATAGTCTCTGGGCTCTAGCACTATTTTTAAATATGAAAAATTTTTCTTAAAGATGCATACTTGCTAACTCAAAGAATGGCTTTTTAAAATGGACTAGAGAAACAACCTAAATGCCCCTCAACCAAAGAATGGATAAAGAAGATGTGATACATTTACACAGTGGAGTACTACACAGCAGAAAAAAATAACGACATCTTGAAATTTGTGGGCATATGGGTGGATCTAGAAAACATCATATTAAGTAAGGTAACCCAGACTGAGAAAGACAAATATAATGTGTACTCACTCATAAGTGGGTTTTAGATATATAACAAAGAAAACCCAGCCTACAATTCACAATCCCAGAGAACCTAGACAACAAAGGGGACCCTAAGAGAAACATACATGGATCTAATCTACATGGGAAGTTGAAAAAGACAAGATCTCCTGAGTAAATTGGGAGTGTGGAGATCATGGGAGAGGGCAGAAGGGGAGAAAGGAGGAAGGGAGGGGAATGGAGAAAAAATATATAGCTCAATAGAAACAATAAAAAAATGGGCTAGATCTGGTGATTGCTCTGAGGTGTTTGTAAGCAGGACACACTTTTGAAGTAACTGTATACTCTCCCAGGTCACTATGTAGGGACGACTGTAAGGCTTGTTGTACGACCTGCAATCACGGATAACAACTTTGATGGTTCCTTTGGGGTTGGGAAGGAGAAGGACTTTGCCAACTGTTTCTGAGCTTGTGTGCAGCCTCCTCCAAGGACACGTTCCCAGGGAGCCTGTCCTTCCCGAGGGCCTGAGGATGGGGTTTGAACTCCTTTTCAGGTAAAGTAAGAAATGAAGTCTGAGTCCTTGGGTCTGACCTTATGTCAGCATTGGCCTAGTGTCTTCCTCGCCCTACCCTTGACTCTATGACGGCATCGTTCCTAAATGCAGGTAATAAAATCTAGTTACCCAAGCAACTGGGTCCCTGAACTAGCAATTGTCGCTCTGGTGTCTTTTCTGTCACTGTAGTGGATGAGAGCCAAAGGGATCTTACTTAGATTGTCCAGGCAAACGACCACATTGAGGAGGCTGAAGGGTACAAAGTCTTAGAAATGGAGCTCCTGAATCCATCTGTCCTAGCTTCCTTCCTGTTGCTCTGACAAGCACCCTGACCAAAAAGCAACATGCGGAAGGCAAGGGCTTATCTGCCTTTCACTTCAGGCCACAGCCAGGCCTTAAGGAAGTCAGAAGCAATGCTGCTTGCCAGCTCACCCAAGGGCTCAGTTTTGTTAGCTCTCTTACACAGCCCAGGATCACCTACCAGGGAATGACGCTGCCCACAGTGGACAAGGATCTCCTTTGTTAATCAAGACAGTCCTCAACAGACATGGCCAGTTTGAGCTGGGTAATCCCTTGACTGAGACTCCCTTCTTAGGTGACTCTAGGCTGGGACAGGTTGACAAAGCTAACTAGGGCAATGTCCAGGAAGAGAACAAAAGAAGTCAGCAAAAGGCAAAACCAGACCAGTGTTTGTGACTCCAACCTGGGTTTTTTAAGGGCCCAGCAGTCACAGTGGAAACTCAGGCCATGTCAATCAAATCCAAGCCAAGGATGGCAGTCCCGGTGATATCACTGCCCTGCTCGCTTTCTGCTCTTGTTTCTTCACCAGTGTCCAGCACAGAAACACTGGAACAGGAGAGCGTTGTCATTCCAAGCACCACATTCTCCCCTCTCATTACAGCACCACAGTGGTGCCATCGGCAAGCCCTGTCACCTTAGACAGCTCCACCCATACATGCAAGACATGTCCTGGTTATCAGCCAGCAACGACAGCTCCCTGTGAGCAGTCTGCCCCGGTCAGAGTGTTGACCCAATCCATGACCCCACCTCTGAGCTCTCAAATGCCACCTCTGCTGCTTCCAGAATGCCAAAATGCCAAATGCCATGCCACTGCTTGTCCCAACAGGACAAGCCCTCAAGGCTTGCCAGGAGTCCTCAAGGCCAGAGACAGGAGGCCTCTAGAGGAGGCTGGAGATAGGTGGCCCGCCACTGCCACCTTCTGCTGAGTGGCCAGCACACTTTCCTCTTCTGTCAAATGATGGCAGAGTGGATTAGGGATGTTTTTCTCTCTAGGCTGTTTTGGAAATGGTGGCAATATACACCCTTGTGTTTGACTAAGAAAGTCGAGTGCAGAGGGAAAGGATTTGCTTGCAGATATAGATAATTTGTATAAGTAAGGTTTGGTATAGAGAATTACAATTGTTGATGTGTAAAAGGCAGAGTTAGCCTCTTCCCTGACTCCCACAGCCAACACCCAGGCCCCTCTGGCTCCTGTCCGCGTTCTCTATGGTAAAGACTAGAAAAAAACTAGGATAATTCTAAAAGTGGCTCCTTTAGTTTGATAGCTCTGATCATTGGGAAGACAGAAATAAGATTTCTCAGAATCGTCTTTGCTTCTAAAATCTCCAAATTCAGATATCACAGCCTGATTTAAAAATGTATCTGAGGCTAAATTCCAATCATTGGGAGAAATGACACTGTTATTAGGCTAACATAAAAATTGCAAACGATTAGTGAATGGTGAATTCTGGGGCTTTCTGTCTTAAACTGTGACACGACATTCAAGCCAGCTGTAAAAAAAAAGGAAGTCTAACAAACTATGCCCCATGACAAGCAACATTTATCTATTGGAGTCAAACCGAGAATCTAATAACTGTCACTTTTAAACCTTTGCTTATCAACTAAAGAATTGAAAAAATTGAACAGGGATGTGGCGCATATGCCTTTAATCCAAACACACTGGAGGCAGAGGCAAGTGGATCTCTATGAATTTGAGGCCAGCTTGGTCTACATAGAAAGTTCTAGGTCAATCAGCGCTAGTGAGAGCCCCTCACACACACATACACACACGCTACTTCCAGTTAATCTGTTCGGAATTTTTTAGAGAATTAAAGATAAATGAATTATAAGACTAACTACTACAGGACTGCCCAGCCCCAGGGAAGACAAGACCCCAAGCAGCCATATGCTGACTGGCCTGGTCAGAGACGTTAATACCTCTATGGAAGATTCCTGGTCTTCCAGATGGGTGGACTTACCACGTGCTAGGCAGGTATGCTGCTACCGAGCCACACCCCAGCCCTGGGTGAAATTTAGAGGAAGGCAGGCAAAATGGGGCAGAGGTACTAAGAACAGGGCTGTGGCCAAGTCGAGAGATGTGGGGGGCAGTGATAAGATGAATCCCAGGTGAATGGGGCATGACAGGAGGGCGCTGTGCTTCACGGACATAAGCTCAGCAGTGCCTAGACTTCTGTGAATACATTCCGGCAGCATTCGGCTTCATAGCAGTTGGGCAAGGGTGAAGGGAAAGCCTCTGAGAATGTGTTCTCATCTACACAATGAGCACGCCAGGGGTTGTTATGTGCGGTCTGGGAGTGGTCTTTGGAGACAAGGTCTTTGGTAACCCAGGTTGGTCTCAAACACACGACCTTAAACACCTGATTCTCGTGCTTCACCTCCCAAGAGAAGGGATTGCAACAGTGCGTCGCCACGCATTTAGCACAGCTGTGGCACGTGGTGAAGGCTCAGGCGATGTTAATGTCACTGTTTCCACAAACAGGAAATGGAGGCAGGACAGGCGTCCAGGGGACAGTGCAGTGGCTAGGAAGGACACAGCACTTGCAGACAGCTGGCCATGTGCAGATCCTGACTTGACCACTTCACTAGCTGTAATCTCGAACAAATTAACCTCCTCCCATTTTTTTTCTTTAAAAATATTTTTATTGAATTAACTGTGTGGGGGGTATGTCATAGAGCATGTATGGACGTCAGAGAACTTGTGGGAATCGGTTCTCTCCTTCCACCATGTGGGGCAGATCCTGATTGACTGAACCCAAGTCTTCAGGCCTGGCAGCAAGCACCTTTACCCGCTGAGACACCTAGCTGACATTTTTCTTGGGCATGAAGCAGGCACAGTAGTAATACCTCACCTAGAAGCTGTGGTGTGCTTTAAGTGTCCAGAAAACACTAGTCATCGGTTGTCAGTGGTGGCAGGATATGCAAGTCATGGGGAGAGTCATGGAACAGGTACCTGGGCATCAATGTCCAGACCCAGAGAGAATAGTCAAGGCTGGGATATCTCAGTGAGTAGCTTGCCGAAGTTACTTAAGCTCTACAAGGAAATGGGCCAGGAACTGAATGTAGAAGTTGGCCCATATAAACCACCAGACAAATCTAAAATATATCTGGATGCTTAAAAAAAACCCTGTCATATATATGTGATAATGTATATTCTATATATATATATATATGTATATATATATATTCATTTTATTACCCTTTCAAATTTTTCCTAGATGGTTCAAATTAAAAAAAAAAGAACTTGAGGGCAAAGGTCGTCTGTGTTTGGTAACTGTGCACACCTTTAGTCTCAGCGGTCAGGAGGCTAAGGCAGGTGGATCTCTCTGAGTTTGAGGCCAGCCTAGTCTGCCTAGTGAGTTCCAGGACAGCCTTTAAAGACTGTCTTTTAAAAAAAAAATAGAAAATTATATTAAGGAGAGCGACAAGGGCTGAGGGAAATAATATTTGGCTTTGGGTGACAATGACAATGGGAAGGGATCAGTGGAATCGGGTGTGGCAGGTATGGGCAAGGACTCCTTGACCTTCAGGGGTAAGGGGCATTGTTGGGGAACAGGTTGGAGAAATGGAGGGAATGAGACAGGAGTTGATACTGGAAGGCGGTGGGGAGGTGTGGCCTCAAGTTTCTCCTTTGGTTCAGGGGGAGGTCTTTGGGGGGCCTGTGGGGCAAGGAACTGCTCTTTCTAGTGACAGATGATGTCTTGCAAGTAACTTGACAGGAAATGGGAGACTATACTTCCACTGGGTCGGATGCAGGGAGAGATTACTTAAGGAAAAAGGTGCTCATGGCCTTGGATGAACCACGTGAGCAGACAGGAGCAAAGGAGTCTCTCTGAGACTGGCTCAATGCAGGGTTCTATGATGCTGAAGGTAGGGCGCCGGGGAGTCAATGAAACTCAAAGTCCCTTTTTGGAACTTGGTGCTGGGCCAGGTTTAAACATTAGTAGAACCCGGGGGTGGGAGGGAACAATTCATTTTCGTTTCCATGCCCCTCTCTCCCTGCCAGGCATAAAGGCACGAGGTGTGGTGAGTCTTTGGTGTTTAGAGAGCCTTCTGAATTTAAGAGCCTCCAGCCCTAAGTAAGACACTACCACGAGGTTGCTGGAGTGAATCTCATGCTATGTGGTCCATCCTGAGCACCCGATCCGGGCTCCTGGAAGAAGTTCTAGGGGGCTCTGCCGGGCACACAGAGCGTCCTCGCTATAGCAGGACCTTGGTGATAACGTCGCCGGGGACATCCCCATCAGGGTCCTCCTTGAGTAGCGGAGGCCGAGGAGAGGAAGGCGCCGAGATCCCTGTCCCCGGGCTCTGCTCTCGCAGCCAGGTTCTCAGCGCCTCGCGCTCGGCCTGTAGCTGGCGACGCGCCTGCGCCATGGCGCGCTCCTCCTGCCGCAGAGCCCTGCGCCTGCGCTCTAGCGCGCGTTCCG